TCGTTCAAACTTGGTACATAGATTATACATGTTAGGATACATGTCCATGATGATTTATTTCGCAATTGGATCAAAGATGGTCGACTGGCAGGCATCTTGTTTTTGTTGTTTTATGCGGTATCTTGGACGTGCTCTGTCAGTTTTCATTCAAACTTGGCACATACATGTACTTTATACATGTTAGGATGCATGTCCATGACAATTTGTTTCAAAATCTGGTCAAGGATGGCCGATTGACAGCCATCTGACTTTTTGGCCTTACAACTATATTTCCACAATTTATGTACCATTTTCATTCGTATTTGGCACATACATCATACATATCAGTGTGTTTCATAATCAGATCAAAGATGGCTGAATAACGGCTGTTTTTATTTTGGCCATATTACTATGACACGAAACATGTGTTTTGATGTAAATAAACAATCTGTTGTATACGCCACTTGGAACTCAAGTTTCAAGGACCCGCTCGCGACAACCCCTCCGCTTTAATATGCCGAGCACAAAGAGAACTTAACGGGGACTGTGTCATTTTCAATGACTTGTTTTCACTGAATCATTCTTTCAACGAAAATTAATTCCAAGCGAAAATAAAGTATTCCACAGTACATGACATCCAGTCTATACATACATACATACATTCACAGTTCTTGTATTTTGTTATTGTTTACATTACAGGTACATGATGTGATGCATTTCTTTCCGCAAACCAGTGCGAGTGAGATCAGTTTCATCTGGGCAAGTGAAAAGACAGGATATAGGCATCTCTATTACATTACATCATCGTTACAGTCGTCTGACAATTTGACGTCTGATTCGCTCTTAGATACGAGTCATTGTAGTGAGTATGTCAGTCTGTCAGAGCCTAGATGTGGTATAGTGGTTTGCATGTAGGTATGCCTTGCAAGACAATGTACAGTGGTTTGCGTCTTTGCTTCACTGAGCGTAGTTAGTTCATTTGTCTCACAGGGCTTATTGCAGTGGTTTATGTATTTGCCTCGCATGCATGATACAGTGGTTATCTTGTTTGCCATGCAGGGCAGTACAGTGATTAGGGTGATTAGTATAACGTGCAGTATTTGGTTTAGGATAATGGCGTCCTACCGGATAGTGACAAAGCTGTTCAACCAGTGTACTTTCTTGTCTTCAGTACATGTAAAAAAATATCACAGTATTTTTGCAATGAGTAGCACTAATGAACCCTGTAAATCTGATTATCGCTGGTCTTTTAAGCACACAAACAAATAAATTGAAAAAACATGTCTAATCGTGGTGGTGACTTGTTTGTTTTGGAAATCTTGAAATTCACACACACCCACAAAAACAGTTTTATTACATACTGTTAATTTGTTGTTACAGATCAACCAAAGGTGTTAAAATGTCTGCCTCTCACATCGGGTAACTCATCAGTAGGTGGTAAACAGGTGAGATAGTAATGGTGTTGTTTTCTAAGTGTGCGTTACATTATTTAATTACATATACGATTATAGATCAATCACACCATGGCTACGACACTCAGAATGTTTATTAAACCAAATGGATTCTGGCATTAGAATTGATTTTTGTTTAAATCGATCCTCTTGTGAATGTAAATATTATATACAAAGATGAAAAAAAAGTATTTTTAAAGTACAATTCATTATAAATATTTGTTAGTAGTATCATAAATGTCATGTGGCTATCACATCACCCTGTTTGTAATACAGAAATCACTGTTCTCTCTAGTACAATAAAAGACTACTAATGTGTATATTTATTTTGTCAAAATACATGCAAGTATGATAAAACATTAAAGGGGCATAAAATGATTTAATTTTCTGGTTATCTGTGTACTGTGTGTGAATGCATACCATGAACACCCTAACATTTTCCACAATGTATTGTTTATTTAAAACAACAAAAGTCAATATAGTATTAAATGGATTAAAAAATGCAGCTCAGACAGGCACATTAAAAACACCTACCGTACACATACCGCACATAAGAATGTTAAACTTTTATGTAATTCAAATCTCTGTATTTGTTGTTTGCAGATATGGGTAGATGAAGTAAAACATTTAGTCTACTATATTGGTTTACATGATACACCATTGGAAGAGCATTTGTGAGTATTGTATTGTTTCATACATACCGTTAAAATCCTATTATAAACCGCGGTTTATATTACAATGTATCAAATAAAAAATTGGGATCAACAGCTCAAGTTCGGGGTGCGGTTTCTATTACGTACATATTGCAATCACTAAATGGGCGTGGTCATTTTTTTTCCCACATCACTTGCACAAAACAAACAATACACCGTACAATCTTTTGAATATAAGGGTAACTCCAATTTAGATGTCAGGGAAGAGTGATAAGCGTCACATCACAAAAAAATTGTTCACATGAAAAGACGGAAAGTATATTCTGACAGGAGTTTCAAATAAAAACAAGCACTAAAAAAGTACGGTACCGTAGGTACGGTAACGCAATCCAGCTATGCTTTGGCTCACAAGTGAATAACTTACTTTTTTTCGAAGTGTCGAAATTGTTGATTATTACTCAGTAGTGATTATAAGAATGCACGAAAAATAAATTCGTTGAATTGTTATCAAATGCAAGTAAAATTCAACTTAGTTTCACCGTAAGCGAATTATTTCGGTCACATGCAAACGATCGATGCGATACGACTTTCGCCATGTAGTTTGAATGCACACAAGATGTTACTTGACCGGATAGGTCAAGTCGCTAATTAACCAATCAAAATGCTGGATGGTGCCCACGTGTTCAAATTACCTTAGTTTATTTAAATATGTAAATGACAGGTCATCGACTTCAAGGTGAACGAAACGCGGAAGCGATTTACCGATAATGTAGTGCGATCTTTTGCCTTTGATTTCCATGGGAAAACGATATGACCCTTTTTTAAAATCAAGAAATTAGTTGTTTTCGAAAGATAAACTGAGCATTGAAAAAGAATTTAACAGTTTTTTCGGTGATAACAGCTCATTGTCGAAAACTTGCGTCACACAGATGTATTCATAAGGAGTATTGACAAAAGTTGTCGCAAGAACAAAAGCAGTTTCACTGCGTGTTTGACATCCTAACACTACTGAACAATAAAGAGGTGTGAATATTTTTAGGCAAGTTGTCGAAACAAATGAATAGGATTACGAACAATGTACCAGCTGGTTGAAACAAAGTCAGTCACGGTCTTGTTGAATTGGGGGTGCGATTAGTAATAGGTACTTTTCATGTTTTCAATTTTTCAACACTGAAGCCGAAATCGGGGGTGCAGTTACTATTAGGTATGCGGTTTATAATAAGATTTTAATGGTACACTCAAATGTATCACACATACAGTATAATGTATTATGCATATAGTATGAAGTATCATGTGTACAGTATGATGTATTATGCATACACTATGATGTATCATGCATACACTATGATGTACCATGCACACACTATGATGTATCATACATGCACTATGATGTATTATGCATGCACTATGATGTATCATGCACACACTATAATGTATCATGCATACACAATTCTGTATTAGGCATACACTATGATCTATCATACATGCACTTTGATGTATCATGCATACACTATGATGTACCATGCATACTCAATTCAGTATTATGCATACACTATGATGTATCATACGTGCACTATGATGTATTATGCATACACTATGATGTATCATATGTTTACAATGATGTATCATGCACACACTATGATGTATCATGCACACACTGTGATGTATCATGCATGCACTATGATGTATCATGCATACACTATGATGTACATAAATACTGTTGTGTACCATATTGTATCAGGCATATGCTGTATGACACATGTTGAACAGGATGTGGCACGCACTAGTATTCTGGACATGTTTTAAGCTTTCCTTAGTTAAGCCATGTACATTTCTTATCTATTCCAGGTACGTAGTGTCTTATATAAATCCCACAAAACCTATAAGATTAACAGAGTTAGGATATTCCCATAACATTGCTATGAGTAAGGTGAGTGTTTACTTAAACAGATATAGCAATTGATTTTGTGAAAATCACAACTGAAATGTTTTTATGAATTACATTTGTATATTGAAAATTGTCTGTTATAAGTAGGCATAGCATAACATACTAAACTAATAAAAATGTTTCAATTTAAAAAAAAATTCATCATATAAAAATTATTTGAACCTGGACATTAATTATATTATTTCAGAATTGCGATTTATTCGTCAGTGTGTTTAGTAGTATTGCATTGCCACCAGCAGCTAAGGTATACAAACTAAGAATAGATGATACTGAATCAAGTGAACCGTTAGCATGTCTTGTCGGCACACTGCTATCAGAACCTACAGGTAAGCAAGTATGCTATGTCATTATTACAGCTTGACCATACTATAATTCAGAACTGCTGAGTCTTACCAGACCCTGTAGACTAGTTGAAAAGAATACAATAAAATTTGTTGTCTATTGATCCTGAATTTGATGTATTTTTTTTTTCTGTATTGATAATATGAGGTTATTACGAGGATACCGCAAAGTATGCACAATGACAGTACAGCAGGGAAATCGACTGACGTGCAGAGGAGGTCAATGTGACTATGTACTGTCTGAGTGCATACTTTGAAGTATTCTCATAATAACCTTATTATTATACATATTTTCCTTCCAAGGATACATCATGGGAATGCCAAAATCCAAAAATGTTTACAACAGAATTAGGAAACTTCTTTGTGAGGAATCAGGTCAAACCCTGGTGGCTGCTATGTTTGTTTTTATTGTTAGAGGACACTTAATTACGCACATAGTCATTCCATATTTCAAACTAACATTTCCTTATATGGTAGGATGCACATACCCAGTGCAATACAACTTTTATTTTAGGTCCAAAGATGTATTTGTTTCATTAGAATCACATGTGATGTCGTACCACAGTAAAATTGTCACTGCTACAAAATTCCATGATTTTCATCTCATGAAATACACGACAATGTTTTTGTGAAATTGCAGAGGTTTACTGTATGTTAAAGACCCATGACTTGTTGCCATGACAACTAGGCAGTCCCTATAGTGATGTGATGTACTGTGGAAAGTGACATGGGTCTTTAAAGTTTCATTTCTACTTTACATGTCTTTGAGATACCGTGCGCTTTTGTTGAACATAGATTTTTCGGGAAAGGATATAATTACCTGTAGCTGTTGTTTTAACATATGTACATCTATTTGTTTGATTTCCAGGTTTATATAATCAATACCAACCTCCAGAACTATTTACATATGAGAGTGAGATGAGTAAATATTGCATGCATGGAATGGTGTACAAACCACATCATCTTGTCGCTGGAAAGCGGTATCCTACTGTGGTGTTTGTGTACGGTGGGCCACAGGTACAGTTAGTGTCAAATTCATATAAAGGAGTCAAGTTGCTACGGTTACATACATTGGCCTCGCTGGGTTACGCGGTGGTCGTCATCGATGGAAGGGGATCTTGTAATCGCGGTTTGGATTTTGAAGCTGGGCTGAAGCACAGTATGGTAGGTTGCGATATTTACAATGTCAAAACTCTGAGAAATAAATACATTTCACCCTCGATGAATACTTTTTTATCAATATATCACTGCTTTCTATGGTTGTGTATCAATGTCTATATTATTCCAAAAATGAGAAATTTGAATTGGTTTGACGCTATGCTGATGATGATGTCCGTTTCTTGTCTTGTATATTTCCTTATAACACTATCCCTAAATATTAAAATTGAAAAGTCAGACTTTTAGACTAGGTGCATGTAGTCTTTCAAACATTAATTCCAACTGAATCAGAACAGTTTTATGAGTGATACATTATTAGCCCTGTACACATATCCTGCCAACCCTATCTCTTCACAGACCCTAATGTTGTTAACTCAATTTATTACTTTACCCAGGGTACAGTTGAGATAGATGACCAAGTGGAGGGTTTACAGTGGATAGCTAATAACACAGATTTTATAGATTTGAATAGAGTAGCCATACATGGATGGTCCTATGGTGGATATCTGTCTTTAATGGGATTGGCACAGAGACCAGATGTCTTCAAGGTATGTACAATGGATGATATGAAACAATACAAAAATATGTATTTAGGATAATTTCCAGAATTGAAAATTGCAGCATTTTCATTTAAAATAAATGTCTTGTGGTGAAGATGACTTCCATGTTTGAATCACTAAGTATTATAGTTTTCACTCAAAATCTAATGTGATGTGACTTATACTTTTAAAACCAGCAGTTATCACATCACCAGCCTCCATAGATAGCCATTATGAATGGTACCGAATTCTGCCGTAAATTTGCCCTGGGCCGTTAAACGACAGTTTGGGTTTAAAAAAAAAAAATTGGGACCAGGGCAATTTTTCGGCAGTTTTTTAACATGTTATTTTAATCTTTTCTGATGCCTAAAAGTTTCACCGTAGTCATTGATGCCTATTCAAGAGTATGATGTTTATTGCGACTAGCGTGAATGGGTATAGCCTCGTTTCGACAATGAGCTGTTATCACTGTAAACAATATTAAATTATTCTCAAATGCTCAGTTTATCTTTTGAAAACAACTATATTTTTTTATTTGAGAACAAATCATGTCGCTTTCCCATCAAAATCCAAGTCAAAAGATCATACAACAACATTGTCAAATCTCTTCTGTGCTGCGTTCAATAACATTTGAACACGTTGGCATCATCCATTATTTTGATTGGTTAATTAGCAATTTGACTTGTCAGGTCAAAGAACAACATCCAGGTCAAAACATGGCAGATATTAATTTCTACAGCATCGAACGTTTAAAGTGCGACCGGAATCATTCGCTTATGATGAAATAAGTTGAAATATATTTTCATTTCAACACAATTTATTGTTTGCACGTTATTATAATAATTATTAGGTAATAATCAACAATTGTGAAACGCACATGACCGAACTGCGCTATTGCAATCATTTACTAATGCGGTTGTGTTCGTTTTTATTTGTAACTTCTTTTAGAATACACTTTCGCTACTAATTAAATGAAAAAAAAAAAATAATTGTATTTGGCGCATGAGGTTCATTAATATTTTTTTTTTTTTTTTTAGAAAGATGCGCTGGGTGACACTGTAATGAAATTTTAGGCGGTCTACTTTTAAATTCAGCAAGAAAAAAAATGTATAAAATTTTTTGTTTTGGGTGTTCCAACTGCCGGCGTTGAAAGTCGGCGTAGTATGACAGAAAAAAGTCATCTATTTACCTATTATGGTTTATATTGAATTTGTCATTTATGCTTTACAGGTAGCAATTGCTGGTGCCCCTGTGACATCATGGCATATATATGATACTGGATATACAGAGAAATACATGAACACACCAGACGCAAACTCACAGGGATATAAACAAGGATCCGTATTACAGTATGTCAATAATTTCCCAAATGAGTAAGTATTGTAACATTTATTAACAGTTTATGTAGAACAGGTGATTTTAATAAAAACAACAGATTTTCAGAGGACTTTTCTAGAGGGCGCTCACACGAAATGTACAAATGTTTCAACTTAGTGATTCAGAATAATGATCATTATACATTTTTCGAGTATCACTGTGAGTGAACTTTTTTAGAAATTAGATTTTACAAAATTATTTTAGGCTCTTGAAGTTAAAGACAATGATGAAGATATTCACAATTAAAATATGCATATATTAGTGATCAGGTGAAATATATAGAGTACATTCTATGGTGGTCATTTTGCTCATATTCAAGGATGAATGTGAAAAATTATGAATTATTAATTGTTCATCTGATCTATAAAAGTAATGAAGTAGTAAATGTCAGAAATGAAATCGATGATAATGTACATTTTTATCGCATACCGTAAAAGTATTTAATTTTCTGTTGTAATTTTACCAGTTCACATAGATATCACTTACCAGTCTAACAAAAATTTAAATCTAGTGATTAATGAATTTGTGTTTTTAGCTACAGTGGAGCTATTTAGGCTGCTTGTCGCTTCCTGGTATTTGTGACTTTCACACGTTTGTAGTGAAAGTGGAAGAATATAGTTTGTTGTAGGAATCTGTAGATATGTTTAAATACAACAAAATTGTAGTCTAGTTGTCTCTGGTTGATTTTCATAACCTCGGTGAAGCTACATCACTAAAGTAACGTTTTCTGAGAGTTTTCAGCCTTTGTTTTTACCATGATGGTTGTCAGGCATGAAAATGCCCGGATGTCCGCCCCGAGAATAACCATAAAAATGATGAATAGTGCCACCAAGAGGTCATTAGCAATACAGAGTAGCTTCTCCATGTGAATACCATTAGTTTAGATAAATCCCAAATCAAGAGACAACCGTGTGTTCGTTTTATTGCAATCACGTCCAAATTATTTTTGACCCCCCCCCCCTTCGAAATGTGCAAGACATATATACATCTTTAAACACGTAAGCTACTCTATGGTTCTAAAGGAGACAATACAACCCTTGGGAGACTGAATGGATAGTGTAGGATTTCCATTTATTTTGTGGTGTTTAACACTCCTAGCATCACTTCTTTGATACATGCCTAGAGGTCCATGTATCTTTCTTGTTATGATTTGATTACATCTGTATGTACTGTAGTGTACTTATCAGTCGTTTATCATTGTGTAATATATATGTCAATTTGGTGTTTTAATTTTGCTTATTTTGCTGACTGAAAAATGCGCTAAATTAAAATCCAGCGAACATGTAAAATTTAGCATAGAACACATTATCTAAATGATAAAACCGTGAATTTAAAATCCACTGAATGTACCTGGAATGGTAAATCAGCGAAATTTAACCCACTGAAAATTAGTCATTTTACAGTATTGCAAAACACACTTTTATCATCAAAAGAATTCTTACTCTGCACTTTTGTTAATATACAACAAACTTAATTGCTGAGAGAATTCCACTAAGGTGAATGCTTCATCCATCATCCATGATTTGATTCTTCATTTTCCATCTTCATCAAAATTTTCTGAATTGTTACTCATTTTTGGAACTATTTTGTCAGTGACTAAAAGAACCGCAATTCATCCTAGCCATGATTTATTATATTTTATATATTTACTGATCGTCCATCTCTCCCAATCTTAATTTTTTTACTGCTTCATCCATTCATAAGTAATAAAATTAATAAATCATCATTCCCATGTCTAATTATAATCATTTCCTGTATCAAGCCTCCTATGATTAGTGATTGTCACATGGTGTGAAGCATTTATCAATACTGCCTAAGCAGCCTTTGTCGTAAATAAATTTTTGCTCTGACATCACACTCTGGTGTCGTCTAAATCTAGTTGTCACTAAAATTTAAAAACAATATGGCAGCTGCCAAATACCGCAGATCTCAGATAAGTTGGATAACTGAGATATCCACAAATTTGATGACAATAAACACGCCAAGAACACCACTAATGGTTGATAGTATTTTGCAAAGCGAGAAAACTATTTCCACCTTGGTCTGCAATATAACAATAGATGTAATTAGCTTTGATATCCATTACTGTGTGGTCAGTATGAATAATTTACACTTCATTAATATATTATAAATACTGTTTATTAATGAAATGCCAAAATTTCTGTTTATTATTATTTTGTGTTTATTTTAAACTACATTAGATGTTTAAAAACTAATAAGATTTTTCCTTTGAATATATTGCTATTTTCTCTGACTTGCAAAATTTTCTGAATTTGGTTTCTCATAACATTAAACCAGTTGTCTGTGAATTGTTATTTAAAGTATTGTATTGTTATTTTGTCATTGTACTAGGTTTATTGATAGATTAGTTAATGATTGATATGGCAAGATTTACTTGGTGCCGTACTGACCATGTCATAGCACTCCCTGGATGTTAACCCGTGATATGAAACAATCTCATTCTGATTAATACTCACTGAAATCACTAAAACCTTGTGATTAGTATTCCCATACACAATCCTTCTGTCATCCACGGGGAGTTTTAGTCGAGTCAAATGAATTGTGAAGGAGCGAGGAAGAGAAGGCTGTCGCCAGTGTTCACGATTCAATGCTGTGTATGTGTCAGTTATTGGGGTAATGCAGCCAAATTGTCTGTTGTCTCTTGATTTGGGATTAATAAAATGTCAGGTTGTACAAACTCAATATTAAAAGTAAACCAGACGTGACATGTATTTGTAGCTAGGGATTATGCAATTTAATTTTTCGAATATTTCATAGAAATCAGTCTTAAATCTTATGAATAATTTACAGTTGCTATGAAACAAAAACAACAAATATTGAAATGACTTGAACATGTGTCATATATACATGTATTTCATGAATATTTCTGGGAAAACAAATTTTACAATTTATTAAAAATAATGGTTCATGCTAAACCTGTATTACAATACTGTGTTGTGCTGAATACAGTGCATATAACACCATATTAAAAGTTTTTAGTCCCCGTTCGGATGCAGTCTGAAAACAAAAACGAGGATGTTTTGACCTCCGTGTGTTCGTGCGTGCGTGTGTGCGCGCGTCTGTGCGTGCGTCCGGACCTGTATCTTAGAAATGCTTCGACCAATCACAATCAAACTTCACAAATACATCATACATGATATTATACATATGCACGTCAATTTGTTTCACAATCTGATTCAAGATGGCCGAATGGCGGCCATTTTCGTTCTTAAAAAGCCTAAAAATCAAGCATTTCTCGGCTGTTTACAGATGGATTTTGTTCAAAACCTTGTATATACGTTGGAAATTATAGGACTTTGATGCACATCATTTTGTTTTATGATCTTATTCAAGATGGCCGAATGGCGACCATTTTTGTGCTAAAAAATCCTAAAAATCAAGCATTTCTCGGCTGTTTACAGATGGATTTTGTTCAAACTTGGTATATACATTAGACATTATGAGACCTTGATGCCAATAATTTTGTTTTTCAGATAAGATTCAAAATGGCCGACTGGTGGCCATTTTGTTTTAATGAATGTGGTTCTCGTGCCATATCTCTGACTTGCTTTCACTGATTATGTTCAAATTTTAAATATTCATTATACATCATTTCATAGATAGACAGATATATTGGTTTGACGAGCCTATTCAAAATGGCCAAACGGTGGCCATTTTTGTGCTTAAAAATCATCAAATATCAAGCATTTCTGGCATTTAAAGATGGATTTTGTTCAAACTTGGTACATATATTAGACATTACAGGTTCCTGATGCACATCATTTATTTTTCAGATCGGATTCAAAATGGCTGTCTGGCGGCCATTTTGTTTTAATGAATGGGCTTCTAGACCCATATCTCCAACTTGTTTTGACTGATTATGTTCAAATTTTAAATATTCATCATACATCATGTCATAGATAGACAGATATATTGGTTTGACAATCCTATTCAAAATGGCCGAATGGTGGCCTTTTTTGTGCTAAAAGATCATCAAATATCAAGCTTTTCTGGCATTTATGGATGGATTTCGTTCAAACTTGGTACATACATTAGACATTACGGGTTCCTGATGCACATCATTTTATTTTTCAGATTGGATTCAAAATGGCTGACTGGCGGCCATTTTGTTTTAATGATTGGGCTTCTAGAGCCATATCTCTTAAATGCTTTGACTGATTATATATTCAAATTTTATATATTCGTTATACATCATGTTATATCTATACATGTATTCAAAATAGCTGATTTTGAATGCTGTTCCAGAGCAATATCTCTCAATATGGACAAGTACTTGTTTGACGATCAGATACAAATTTCAATCATTTTAATGTTAAAAAATCATATTCCTGACATGGTTATATTCCAGCTATATTACTGTAAATAAAACTATATATCTTAAATTTGATAACTAACGGGGACTGTGCCATGCATGGCTTGTTTCTATTAGGGCATTTGCAATTTGTCAACACTAATCAAATTATGCGACTTTTTTTACATAGCATTTATATATATTAAGGGGCATGTGCATCTACAAACAAATAAAATATTTGTTATATAAACAAATGTGATATATTGTAGTATTCCATCAACACCACAAGATATATTTTATCAGCATACAGAGCATCTTTGCGAAAACTCATCCATGGAAAACTTAAATTTTTTTTCTTGTGATATTGGTATTTTTTCAACATTGTTTCTTGCAATATCACGCATTATCAAACATTATCTCCCATATTAGCCACGAATAATCTCTAATTATCATGCAATCTTCACAGAACTATTGATAGAGGGCAGCCTTTACATTTCTTGAATTTAGAATTAGGCCCACCTCGATACTGTATCATCGTTATTCATTTATATGTTAAAATTACCTCTCACACATACTACATGTAACTGTTCGGGTCTTTAAAAACAACATGCATTTTCTTGAAAAATACTGCCTTTGGCAAATATACCTACTTATTATTCATTGAGTTGATGGTTATGACTACAATTAT